ATGGATACTGCTCATCTGGTACATGTATCTGTAATCCTGGCTACACAGGACCCTTTTGTGACATGGGGACTGACTGTTCTACAAATGGTGATTGTAACTATCATGGCTATTGTTCTGAAGGAATATGTTCTTGTGATTACGGATACAGTGGTTCTACCTGTCAATATAATGGTACGTGTGTGGGGGATAGAGTAGTGCGCTTCGGTAGTACTTGATGACAGAATGTACAACAGTCAAATCTAGATGTAAACAAAAAGAACACGGTATGGTTTATTGCTTGACACACTGGCATAGAAACATGTTACATATTAATAAAGAGTCATTGAAACCTCTAAACTAGCCCTTTTATATAGGTGCGTATCGAATGTGAGAGAAAACATGTAAGCGCGAAAAAAAATGTAAATTACGCAAGAAAAAAAAATACAGTATTGAAAAAAATGATTGGCTGAAATTAAATGATTCTCATTTGTCAACAATTATTCTGGAGAATCCTTTGTATGAAAAGATAAACGAGTTACTTCTATGACATAATACTAAACAAATACAGATATACATCATGAATCTCCGACAACATGTGTTTTTAAAATTGTATTTATCAAGGTACTCAGGTAACTAATCTTAAAATAATTGCTGAAGTGTGAGATTACAGATAAGATAAATATTTATACTTGTATTAAGCTATGTTATGTTAACCATTTATACTGACTCGGGCAAGACTATCATACCTGCTAACTCATTAGAATCAGTAGAGGTATTTTTGGAACTTCACGTTTCCTTGTTACAGGGCATCCATGTCTGGACCTTGGATTGTCAAACAGTCTTTTTTTTGGTCCACTTTACGAAAGATTCTGTTGATTTCATTTTGTGATCCATTCCTGACTGATCACATTCATTGAGCACTGGCGATATGCATTTAATGCTGAGATCTCAATGTATAAATCCAAGGTTATTTACATTATAGATATTGGATATTCTATCATAAAACATGGAATTGTTACTATTGTATGACATGTACATGTAGAATTCTATTGTAATACATGTGAACATAGAATTCTTACTATTGTATGA